AAGATTACATATTTTCTTCTCTCATAATTTTATGGCATTCTGCTCCATAAAACCACTCATGTCTACAACTGCAGGCAAATGCGTAAGCATCAACTCATGTGGTCTTGCACACATTTTCCACTTACAGGCTATTTACAGGTAATTCTTAAGTTGACACTTCTCTCACTTTACAGCATAACACTTCATACACATTACTCAAGTCGGGCTCCTTTTCATTTGATATCATTTGCATTCATGGAACAAATTTCAACATCTTTTGCAGACCAGAAATCAGAGCAGACTCAGGGACACACACGGCTTGGCATAAGACTTGGTATTCTGTAAGATAAAACACTGCAGAGGTCTAACTTACAGACTTAAATACTTCAGGATTAAAATATAGACATTTTTTTCAAATATCAAAAAATATAATTATAATATAAATGTATAAAATGACACAGAGAAAATATTTCTTAATGCATATTCATTGAATATGATGGATTTCTTCATTGTTTTCACATCAAATACTGGTTTCACCAAATTGCACACCTTTAAAGAAAAAAAAACATTAGTAATTTTAGCTATGAAAAGTGACAGTTACTGCTGCTAATCCTTGCTACGAAAATTCTAGATTTGTTCATAACAAATTTAGGGACCTTTCCATTTTAAAATGAGGAAACCCAGGTCTAAAATCCTGGGAAAAGTGTTGCACGCCATTCAGAACTGAGTTGAGAATGCCTTTACATTGCAATTCATTATGTAAATTTGATTTAAATAGACCCGAGGAAGCAAAGAGAATGCAAAACTGCATTTCAAATTTGAATTCAAATAAATTCACATCACTGTCATTTTTAAATAAAAGTTTGTCGATTTTAAAACTTGGCTTGATAAAGGATTATTTGAATGTTTTGAAAATGTTCAAACATTCAAAAAGCCTTGAAGTTTGAAGGTTTGCAGTTCACACAGGCAAACAGACATAGATATTCATCTCATAGTTACATCAAGATGTAATAGACAGGTAAAGACATGATAGAGACAAATAGACATGATAAATTATTTAAACCATAGAGGTGATCTATCACTCTCAGGTCGGTCTTCCCCACATCACAGTAACATTTCTCAGTAAAATGTTATGTCTAGCTAAGCACACGGTAGCTAATATTTCCCATATCTATGTTGGTTGCTATAGTAATGACTGCAGCACAATGCAGAGAGACTTTCCTCTACGACATCTGAGATTAGCTGTCAGCATGGAAATGGAGTACAGAAAACTGGAAATTTTCCTTCTGTTCAAGCCCATCAGGACATTTTACTGTGGTTCTGAACTCACTAGGAATATGAGACAAAAATAAGCACTCATTCACCATTCAATACACAGTGAAGGCTTCACGTGAGGCATTTCTAACACAGATGTAGATCTTCCTGATAACAAAACAAACGACTGGAAATCTGACTTCAGACGGCGTTCAATCGGAAAGGCTTCTCTCAAAATTCGGATGTCAAACTTTGTATGCATTTCATGTGGTTTTTGCTGATCAGACTACAGACAACTAAACAGACTTTAGTTGAATATACAAAAAGAAACCATGTTTGTGGCCTGTCTGAACAAAGGCAAAGAAACCCATCTATTTTCTCAGAGGGACAGACTAATGGCTTGTTACAGACGACTGCTTTGTTCCCATGCAGTCTGATTGCTTTCGCTCTCTCTTCTTCTCACTGTTTCCATGCTGTTTCTGAACTTCTAGGCTTGTGGAAACTGCTCCTGTGGGTACCGTTTCACTCTTCTACTGTTAGGTGTTAGTGCTGGAAACAGCGACGGTAACTGAGCTTGTTTAAAAGCACAGATGAAAAAAAAAAGTTGAACAAACCTTTGCTTTACATTTGTATATTTCACAAAACAACATGTGATTCATGAAGTACACACATGCTTTTATGTGAGGTGATTGCTAAAGTATGTTTAGACTGAATCGACTGGCACACTGCATCTTTTTGATAAAAGGTCAACTTTTTCTATCTGCCAAACAAAATCAGTGGTTTTCATCTCATTGTTACCAATAACATCTGAGGAGCTGAGCCATTCTTAGTCTCTGAGCAGCTTGTCAGTAAACATCTGCAAGCATTTTCTCGCAAATCCACATTTGAATGATCTAGTCATTTGGCGCCACCAAGTGGAGGGTTAATGTAAGCTCAAGTACGTTGCTGCAAACAAGAACGGTTTTCGTTAACACAGTGAATGTCAGTGGGGTCCAAAACAACATTTGACCATTGAACATTTTTTGTTTCTTGAAATAAAATAAATGTTAACTGACAAAAAAAAAAAAATTTTTTATTCCAGCTAGTTGCCAAAGCAACATTTGTCATTTTTATTTAGTTTAACCTGATGTACAGTACTAGCTAAAACTGAAATAAAAATGTATAAAAACTATACAGATATATTTAAATAATAAAAAATAAAATTTAAATTAAAATACAAAATAAAAACTTTCAAAATATAAAAAAAATATTATAGTACCTCAATGATGCTACAATATAATCATGCAAATAAAAAAATTAAAATAATAAAATAAATAAATCGAAACAATACTAGAGAAAAATGTTCAAAGTACAATTCCTAAATGTGCTAACTATTCTCTGACATAACCTAATCGAAATGATCTGAACAGCAAGAGAAGCCAATAAATTAAAATGAAAAGAGCCACAAACAGATGTCCAAAAACAAACAAAAAGTAAAAAGCAATCAAAAAACAGCCATTTGTACAATTTATTCTGATCGCAGTGCATGCTGGGAACTCAAGTAGGCTTATAGCATAATATACAATTTACACTAAAATCACTACAATTATCCCAACCACTCTGAATTTATTTGTGATTAAACTAATGAAAGAAATCAAGCTCAAACTTCTAAAACAAAGTAGAAATGGCAATAATTGTGGCAAGTCAAATGAGTAAAAAAAAAAAAAAAAAAGGTAGATATAACAAAATGCAGAATATATAGAATATATATTTAAACTCCCATGGTTAGTACTTTTAAGGTGGGCACAAAGCAGTGGATTTCATTCATTCTGCAGCTAATCACCACTTCCTGGTTAAAATGTTTCCTTTCCACAACCACAAACCCCACTAGCCAGTGTTCACTCTGTCTATTAAGCATGCACAACCACAGTTGCATGTGCATATGCAACTGTGCAATTACTATTGTCAAGAAAGTAATTCAGAGAAACCAGGCCGTGGGGAGAAGGGAAACATTCGCATATCTGTTTTCAGACACAAAATGCTTGACTTATGCTAAGGACGTTCACAGTTGTACTGAAGCATGTTGTGCAGGTAAGTAAGCAGCTCTGATGCACGCGGCTGCCCACATGTATAGAAGGCTCTGTGCTTTACAGACAGGAAAACCAACATGGCCCTGTCACTGAAACACTACTGCTAAATGATCTAATGTATTCGTGCATTAAACATGAATGCAGAGTCCAAACTACCAGGGCCTACTAGTAACACACAAGCATCTGTAACACCTAAATAACAGACATACCATTTCTCAGTTGCAATATTAGCAATATTAACAATATTAGCTCAATTGACCTTACCTTCTAAACTTGTCATATGTAAAGTATTCGTGTCTGCTGATTGCCTTGTGAATCTGCTTTTTTTTTTAAATCCACTAGGTGGCACTGCATATTACAGATTAGTACCTACAACTTTCTAGAAAAATTGAACTGCTATATTACATTAATTCATCATTTTATTTCTATTATTTCTATTAATATTTTGAATAATTCAATAATGTATCTGTATTCTGTTTTGTAGCATTGTAAAACTTCTTTTAAACCTACTTCAAATAAAATGCTAAATAACAAGCAGATGTAAAAATTATATATTTTTGAGAGACATATCAATTTGCTTTCTCGTTTACTTTTTTTAAAATTGTTATTTTAGATATCTAACCGGGTCTGTGTAATGTTGTATTATGTAAGGTATTATTTATATAATTGTTTTTATTATTATTATTATTGTTTTAATGTATTTTCACTTTGTTTTGATCCATTTATAAAATAATTTTATAGTGCATTATTATTATTATTATATATTATATGAATTCATCATTTTATTTCTATTATTTCTATTAATATTTTGAATAATTCAATAATGTATCTGTATTCTGTTTTGTAGCATTGTAAAACTTCTTTTAAACCTACTTCAAATAAAATGCTAAATAACAAGCAGATGTAAAAATTATATATTTTTGAGAGACATATCAATTTGCTTTCTCGTTTACTTTTTTTTTTTTATTGTTATTTTAGATATCTAACCGGGTCTGTTGACACATTGAATTGAACAACATGTTACAAAATATTGATATTTCAAATAAATGCTGTTCTTTTGAACTTTTA